TTTCCCAGCAGAGTTCAGACACTTCTTTTTAAGGCTATCTCAGGCTACTTTGTACGTTTGTTTACTAACAATAGATTCTTCATGTCCCCTGCCCCCATTATACAATGTATACTACACATTTATTCCTTGTCTAACCTATTCAAGCTGATTTTCACTGTAATCTCTTGGAGTTTCTCAATATAAAACATTTAATAGCCAATTTTCAATATTTGTTGCTCTTGATTTATTTCTAGCTTTATCGATATGACTAAAATGCCTAAAATATGTCAAATAATGCTGGTGATAACAGGCATCCTAATTTAGTAAGAGGTTTTCTATAAACCTGTAAAGTAAGTGTTGTGTTTCATGAAAGTGATTTTTCAGCATTTACTGAGATGATAAAGGGATTTTGCGTGACATATTAATAAAATACACATGAATGCATTTCCTGGTAGTAAACCATCCTTGTATTTCTATATAAGTGACACAAAGTCCCAGTAATTATTTTCATGTATAAAGGAACTGCTATAAAACTAAAAAAACAAAAAAACCCAATTAATCTGCTAAAAATTCCAATAAAAAAACCTAGTGGGATTTCTTTCGGGGTATGCAAAATGATTTTATAGATCATTTGGAATAGTAAACAGGTGATAACAGCCCAAACATTTTTGGCCAAAAAAAAATCATAACTAGTACAGATTTACCCTAACTGATATTACCATATCTGAAATTAATATTGGGGTGAGACTTTTAGCTAAGTTTGAGTAAGGTTGTAGACAAATTCTTCTAAAAGAGACTTCAGCCCGGCCAGTGTGGCTCAGTGGTTGAGCATCAACCTATGAACCAGGAGGTCATGTTTCAATTCCCTGGTCAGGATACATGCCCAGGTTTCAAGCTCAATCCCCATTAGGGAGCATGCAGGAGGCAGCCGATCAATGATTCTCTCTCATCATTAGTGTTTCTATCTCTCTCCATCTCCTTTCTCTCTGAAATTATATATATATGTATGTATTTTTAAATATGATAATAAGGAACTATTATAAGTAACCGTTTACCAACAAATAACTAAGATGAAATGGACAAACTCCTAGAAAGATACAAACTATTAAAACTGACTCAAGAAGTAGACAAATCTGAATAAAATCTGACAGCTAACTGAATTAGTAACTAAAAATCTTCTCACAATGAAAAGGCCAGTCCCAGATGGTTTAACAGGAGAATTCTATCAAATATTAAGATTAATACCATTTTTCTCAAACTCTTCCAGAAAGTAGAGAAGGGAACATTTTCTAACCCCATCTAGAAGGCCAATGTTAACCTAATATCAAAGCTACACAAAGATGTCATGAGAAAATTAGACTCAAAAATCCTCAACAAAATATTAGCAACACTACGATATATAGAAAAGATTGCACATCAGGACAAAGTAGAACTTATCCCAGGAATGCAAGTTTGGTTTAATATCCAAAAATTAATTTATATAATAAAGCATACTAGTGGGTAACAGATAAAAAAAACAATCAACTATAGACAGAATTATAAACTTTCAATAAACTAGGATTAAAAGATAATTTACTCAACCTGATAAAGAGCATGTTCAAAAAACCTACAGCTAACATCAAACAGCAGTGACAGACGAAATGCATTACCCCTAACATCGGAAAAAAGGCAAGGATGTCTGCTCTTGACACATATTCAACACTGTACTGGAGAATCTAGCCAGTGCGATAAGGCAAGAAAAAAGAAATTGAAAGCACAATGACAGGAAGCGTTGGAAGTAGTAAAATTGCCATTATTTACAGATGGCATGATCCTGTATGTGAAAATTCTAAAGAATCCTATATAATAAAAGGCTAATATGCAAATCGACCGAACGGCAGAACAACTGGTCGCTATGACGTGCACTGACCACCAGGGGGCACTCAACGCAGGAGCTGTCCCCTGGTGGTCAGTGTGCTCCCACATGGGGAGCACCACTCAGCCAGAAGCCAGGCTCACAACTGGTGAGCACAGTGGCAGTGGCAGGAGCCTCCCCCGCTTCCACTGGACATCCCCCAATGGCTCCCAGACTGCGAGAGGGTGCAGGCCGGGCTGAGGGACCACCCCCCAAGTGCATGAATTTCCTGCACTGGACCTCTAGTCTACAATAACAACAAAACAAAACTATCAGAAATAACAATATCTGTTTAGCAAGTTCATAGGCAACAAGATCAATATTTTAAAATATCACTTGAAAGCCTTTTAAGATCCTCTAACCCCAGCTGAAGGGGGAGTGAAGATCACCCTGCTGGATGCTAAATGTGTGAAAGGAACATTGCCTACAGGAACTGCATCCTAGCTCCCTCTGAATTATCCTTTCCAAGGAGGCAATTCACAACAGATAGAGGAGCAGGCTCTTTTTTTTTTTTTTTTAATTTTAGAGAGGAAGAGAGAGGGATAGAGAGATAGAAACATCAGTGATGAGAGAGAACCATCGACAGGCTGCTTCCTGCATGTCCCCCACTGGGGATCAAGCCCGCAGCTCAGGCATGTGCCCCTGGCCAGAATCGAACCTGGGACCCTTCAGTCCGCAGGCCAACGCTCCATCCACTGAGCCAAACCGGCTAGGGCAGGAGCAGGCTCTTAATCAGAGCTTTGTCAACCAGGGAAAATCTAGAAGTCACTTTAGCATAAAATAATTAAGTGATTTAAAGAATATGTATAAGCCCAGCTGTGGTAGCTCAGTGCATTGAGCATTATCTCATGGACCAAGAGGTCCCGGGTTCAATTCCCAGTCAGGGCACATGCCCGGGGTTGTAGGCTCAATCCCCAGTAGGGGGCATGCAGGAGGCAGCCAATCAATGATTCTCTCTTATCACTGATGTTTCTATCTCTCTCCCATTCTCCCTTCCTCTCTGAAATCAATAAAAATATATTTTTTAAAAAAAATATGCATGAAAATGTAACCATTTATAGTATTTCCAATGAAGAGATTATAATAAGTAAACATGCACATGATTTAATGCTCACAACTTTATAGTGATTATTTGTTTTGTGCAGAAGGCTGTTGAGCATTTGAAAAGCGGCTATTATGACCAAGAATATGAGTTTTAAATTCTACTTAATTTGATTAATTTAATTTAAAATTAAAACAGTCATGTGTGGCTAGAGGCTCCTGTACTGGACAGCACAGCTTTAAAGCACCAACTTTTCATCAGGACTGAGGCCTTGGCTACCCTCTGCCCATCTCTTGTCCCACATGATGCCCAAGCGGAGTGGGAAAGTCACAGCATGCAGGGGTGACCGATACACGAGGGAGAGAGGTTACCACTACAGAGCACCGAGGGCCTTGACAGAAGGAAATAGACTCTTACCTCCTCCTCTTCTTCTGAGCCACTTTCTTCACTATCAGATCTTGGAGCTACTTCATACCTAGAAAAAATATTAGTGTTTTAATATAAACCTCCCGCAAACCAGCATAATTCATTTACCTTAGCAAATTGGCTTGTTTCCAAATCAAGCAAAATCACCACCAGCTACCAGACAGCTGACTCAGGATCCTGGTTGCATCTGGAATTCAAGGCCCCACTCACCCTGGGTTCATCTCAAGCCAGGCCTCCAGCTGCCCTGCTTTGGGGGCATCCGTGCCTGTGAGGATCTTCCCACTCTCCACATGGATCACTTTCACAGGCAGGTCACTCATTTGGCTGGTCTCGTCCAGAGGCTGAAAAGAGACACGTGTGACTTTAGGTTCTGCGGTGACCATACCTCAGATGTTCACTAACCATGGCCAACTGGGAAGTGCCCTGTCAACTCTATAACCAAAAAAACTGGCACACAACCATGGCTAGTGTTTGTGAAAATGGGTTTCCTATATGTCAATAATTCAGGAAAAAATATAATCCACTGATGACAGCAGTTTCTTTGAGATAACTGACATACATGCTTTTATTTTCAAATAGGTAATAGAGTCATGTAGTTTAAAATCCAAGAGTATAGAGTATGGATTCTCTCCATCCCCTGTTCCTCAGAAGTTTCTTTCTTCATAGATGCCCACCATGCATCATTACAGATCAATTCCATGCATAAGAAACTAGAACTGGTTTCTCCCAATTTTTACACAAATGACTACTATTCACATTCTTCTGGCCCTTGATTATTTTTCCATTTGTAATGTGTTTGTTACTTCATCAATCAAGAGTATGGATTCTCTCCATCCCCTGTTCCTCAGAAGTTTCTTTCTTCATAGATGCCCACCATGCATCATTACAGATCAATTCCATGCATAAGAAACTAGAACTGGTTTCTCCCAATTTTTACACAAATGACTACTATTCACATTCTTCTGGCCCTTGATTATTTTTCCATTTGTAATGTGTTTGTTACTTCATCAAGGTCCTCATTTTTGTTGTTGTTAAATAGCTAACTGGAATATTTGAAAAATAAAACAACGAACTTCCTCTTAGCAACACATATGAAATTCTTTGATTTCTCCTTCTGAGATATCAACTTTGGATGAACATTTCCCCCTTCAAATTTCCTGAAGATTTCAGAATAAGGATGAAGTTCTTACTTTAAACCTTTCTTTGCATTGTGAAAATTAATAAACAAAAAATTAGGTCAACTAAATTGGATCCAATTAATCTAAACTAAAACTGGCATCATGAAGGCCTGTAGAGAAGCTCTCATGTCCTACCACTCTAAATTAATTGCCCCCAACAGGAAGTCAATTACAGATCCCAACAGGAAGAGACCTACGTTGCACTCCCAAACAGGAAATGCATCTACTGTACTACCACAGCAGGAGGAAGGCTTATCTCTTATACTGCAACAAGTCTAGCCAATTGAAACCCAGCTAAACCAATGAGAAGCTGTCATCACCTGAACTCTTACTTTATTCCAATAAATTTTCATTTTTCTTTTGCTGACTTTCCTGATCCATCCTCATTACTATAAAAGCTGTCCATCTTGTATAATAGCTCAGGATAGCTCTGTTTGCTAGATGAGATGCTACCTACCCAATTCATAAATCATTGGATAAAACCAATTAGATCTTCAAATGTACTCAGTTAAATTTTATTAACAGCATCTTCCAGGAACCTATATCCCTCCCTCCCTCCGAAGTTTTGCACTACCAACACCATTCATACAGTAGAGAGAGATTAGTCTCTGTGCACAACACAACCTCACCCTCAAAGTGGCCCACCATGGCACGGGAGGGGTGACACCAACTCCAGATGCACAAACCCTCAATTGGTGACTTTCACCCCTGAATGTTCCTTGGGAGCATTTAATGGTGGTGATGCCTGCACCTGCCCACCCAAAAAATCTGATTCAACTGCTCTAGGGTTTTATAAACGTTTCCCAGATGATTCAGATGTGCAGCCAATGCTGAGAACCACTGGCTGGGAATAAGGACAATTCACAGCCACCACTGAGTGATGCTTCTGTTACAAAACAGGCTAGGAAGAGAGCCCTTAACCAGGAACCACCTTGCTGCACCCTGACCTTGGATTTCCAGCCTTCATAACTGTGAGACCACAAATGCTTGTTATTTAAGCCACCCAGGCTATGGTGCCATGGTGTTTTGTTACAGCAGCCCAAGCTGACTTAAGACAGTATCAAAAGGTGATACATAAGGAGGCTCACTACAACAACGTTGCAATAGGAAAAAAGGAAACGGAAATAGTCACCAATAGAAGAGGAGGTAAAGAGTAGCTCAGTATAGGATCTTTTTCTTTTTTTCAGTGCATTTGTAACAGCTACAAATGGGAAGCATCCTAAAGAGCTATCAGTCTGAATGATGAAACAGATTCCTAACCTGTCAACACAATAAAATGAAAATAGAACTAATGATGTGATATGGAAAGTGGCACAAGATATTTGGCTAAGTGGGAAAAGTCTAGCTAATATCTAAATTGACCCAAATAGTCCCAAAATAAAACAAAGGGGATATAAGCATAAAGATTTCAGGAAGAATAGAGAAGATGTCACCAGGAATCAGTATGCATACCTAGGCTTTCTACTCTTCATGTTACCATTTAAATTTTTTCTATAGGAAGTATGACATTTTGGAGAGGTTAGAAAGAATAGGGTAAATTAAAAATTGTCCTGGCGTTTGACCCAGCAACCCTACTTCTGGGAATATAGCCTAAGAACCCCGAAACACCAATCAGAAAGAAGATATGCACCCCTATGTTCATAGCAGAGTTATGTACAATAACTAAGATCTGGAAACAGCCCAAGTGCCCACCAATAGATGAGTGGATAAAAAAGCGATGGCACATTTACACAATGGAATACTATGCGGCTGTAAGAAAGAAGAATGAACCTGGAGACTATTATGCTAAGCCAAATAAGCCAGTTAGAGAAAGACAAACATCACATGATCTCACTTATATGTCTAATGAAAAAAATAAACTGACAAAATAGGTCCAGAGGTATGGATACATGGAACAGAATAACAAATCTCAGTGGGTTAGGGGGTAGAAGGGGCTGGAAGAGATTAAGCAAAGAACATACATGCATAGCTCATCAACACAAACAATAGTGTGGACAATAGCATGGGGAAGGCCTGGGGTGGGGTGGGAATTGGGGGTAAAAAGGAAGAAAATGGGAGACATCTGTAATACTGTCAACAATAAAATAAAATTAAATTTTTTTAAAAATAGAAAGAATATGGTAAGTGTCCATGAGCTAACAGGGTGAGTTGTCTGAGATACAATGCTAGGTGAGAAAAAGAAAAGCCTTCCAGTGGCTCATGCATAGAAAAGGCCGCCCTTTGGGAAGAGGGACAAAGAGCCAGAGGAGGTACTAAAAACAACACTTCTTATTTACACATCCCACTTTTATAGATCTTTCTCCCAAATGTGTGTATTACACCAGAAGAGTTGTTTCAGGAGGTGGGCAGGAATGTTGTGGGAAGGTGGGTGTGTGGGCACAACAACCCCTCTCTGAGTGGGCCACTCTGTACAGCTCAGACTCTGGAACAAGCTGGTGTTTCACACACTAAATAAATCAACAATGAGTAAATAAATAAAACCAACAAAGGTGGGGAAACCACAGTAACAAGGGCATGAGGGGAGAACTAATCCAAGTAGCTTCTGCGCACAGTATTTAGAGGACACTCTCGGGATGAACTCCAAACACACACTGACCTCTAGCTGGGAGGCTCCTTGTATTTGTTTTTATTTTTTCGAATTTTTATGAGAGTTTAATTTAGTCAAACTGATGACATATGCCGGGGAGCAAGATCTTAAATGCTCTAGGAGGCTCCTTTTATAGAGGGGGGCGCATTAGGAATTCTGAATGTACATCCTGTGTATCCTAGGATTGAGCAAACAGGAAAGAGTATCATGGCTAATGGCAGCCAGATTTTTGCTGTTTCAGTGTAGAAAGGGAAAGGACAGAAATAACCCCATGGTATTGGATTAGAACTGGTGGTATCAGTGTGATCTCAAGGTTTGTTAATATTCGTATATATAAATAGCAATGAACATGTATACACACACATACACCTATTTCCTACATCTGTCCACTGAGAGGGCCTAGAAGCAATGACACCCAGGAGCAATGAGCACTCCTAGATTTTGAATTTAAAATATTCTTCTTTGAGAAAAGGAATCAGGGCTCCTTAGAGAAATGGCTGACTCCAGGGCTCAGACAGGAAAAGCAGACAATAAGGTTGCACTATTTTGGTGTATAAAGAAGTCAGGAAGCCCCCAAAGGATGATAGGGACACATCAAAAAGACACAGGAATCAATTTGAAGGAGCTCCTATAGGCCCAACTGGAACAATTTGAGCATGAAAATAAATACTGCCCTGGCCAGTTAACTCAGTTGGTTAGAGTGTCATCCTGATAGGCCAAGGTCATGCTCCAGTTGGGGCACATACAAGAATCAACCAGCTGCCTGACCCGCAAGGCTCAGTGGTTAAGCATTGGCCTATGAACGAGGAGGTCATGGTTTGATTCCCAGTCAGGGCACATGCCTGGGTTGTGGGTTCGGTCCTGTGTGGGGCATGTTGGAGGCAGCTGATCAATGATTCTCATCACTGATGATTCTCTCTCTCTCTCTCTCTCCTTTTCCCTTCCCCTCTGAAATCAATAAGAAATATATTTTTTTTTAAAAAGAATCAACCAGCCCAGCTGGTGTGGCTCAGGGGCTGAGCATTGACCCGTGGACCAGGAGGTTGTGGTTCGATCCCCAGTAGCGGGGCATGCAGGAGGCAGCCGATTAATGATTCTTTCTCAATCACTGATTTTCTCTCTCCCTCTCTATTCCTCTCTCAAATCAATAAAAAATAATTTTTTTAAAAAAAGAATGAACCAATGGATGCATAAATAAATGGAACAACAAATTGATGTTTCTCTCTCTCTCTCCCTTCCTCTCTCTCAAATAAAAAATAAATAAATACTGACAATGAAGGATTAAATTAAATAAGAATCCATGAGTTCGTACCAGGGGTTTGCAAATTATGGCCTATGGGCCAAATAGCAAATAAGAGAAAGCTTTTCCTTCCTACAGAAAGCCAACTAATAAATAGAAGTAGGCAGAGATAATCAATGGATGTGAAACCAATGAATTAGAAGTATTTAGAGTTACAATATATGTAGTGTCAAGTATCTCCCACATGGTACTCAATTACAAAAGGAAAGACAGTAACTTTACAGTGGGATTGCCTTGGTCAACACCAAGAGATCAAGGATCAAGGTCACAGCACCAGTGGCAGAACAAATCTGTGCCATGCAGTCCTAATGTGACGCCCCAAGAAGGATACAGCATCACTCTAGGGTCTTCCTGCCAAAACATATAACTTGACTTTAATCACAAGGAAACCTCAGTCAAACCCAAATTGAAGGCCACTGCAGGAAATACCTGGCCTATACTCTTCTTAAAAAATACCAAAGTCGCCCTAACCAGTTTGGCTCAGTGGATAGAGCGTTGGCCTATGGACTGAAGGGTCTCAGGTTCGATTCCAGTCAAGGGCATGTACCTTGGCTGCAGGCACATCCCCAGTAGGGCATGTGCCGGAGGCAGCCGATCGATGTTTCTCTCTCATCGATGTTTCTAACTCTCTATCCCTCTCCCTTCCTCTCTGTAAAAAATTAATAAAATATATTTTTTTAAAAATACCAAAGTCATAAAAGGCAAAGAAAAAGCGAGAAGCTGCTCAAGATCAATGACAAAAGGGACTACCACTGAATGTGACATGTGAACTGGGGTTTTCTATTGCAGTGAAGGACACTAGAAGGACAACTGGAGAAACCTTCATAATGGCTATGGATTATATCGTAGTATTGCATCCATGTTCATTTCCAGTTTTTGATCACTGCACAATTATGGAAACGAATTATCTTGTTTTTAAGAAATACACACTGAGCCCTAGCCAGCTTGGCTCAGTGGATAGAGCATCAGCCTGTGGAATGAAGGGTCCAAGGTTCGATTCCGGCCAAGGGCACATGCCTGGGTTGCGGGCTCGATCCCCAGTAGGGGGTGTGCAGGAGGCAGCCAATCAATGATTCTCTCTCATTATTGATGTTTCTATCTCTCTCTCCTTCTCCCTTCCTCTCTGAAATCAATAAAGAAATATATTAAAAAAAAGAAAAAGAAAAGAAATACACACTGAAACACGTGGAGGATAAGGGCTATTGATGTCTGCATCTGATGCTCAAATGGTTTAGGAAAAAATGACAATAGTGAAAACAGGGAATTTGGGTGAAGAGTACACATAAATTCTCTGTACTGTTTTACACCTCGCATGAGTCTAAAATTACATGAAAATAAAAATGGAAAGTAAATAATGTGGCACATGCATAGAAAAGCCTGGGAGAAAACACCTAATAGTTAACAATGTTTCCTCTGGGCAGTGGGATCAAGGAAGGGGTGGGATGGTGGCAGGAGACATATATGGATTCTTACCATCATCATATTCAGCTTTTACAGTTTAAAAAGAAAACAAATTGGCTGGAGCGTTGTCTTATACACCAGAGGATGGTGGGTTCGATTCCGGTCAGGGCACATACCTAGGTTGCGTGTTCAATCCCTGCTCGGGATGCATGAGGAAGGCAACCAATCAATGTTTCTTTCTGTGTGTGTGTGTGTGTGTGTGTGTGTGTCTCCATCCCTTCCTTCCTCCTTCTGAGATCAATTTAAATAAAGAAAAAAGAAAAAAAGAATGAAATAGACCCAAGGTCCAGGGCTGGGTTGACATTTCCACAAAAAACACACACCAAAAACCTGGTTCCTCACCTCGCCATCGGGTCCTATTGCAGGTGTCTGTCCTTCTGCATTTTCTGCCTTCTGGAAATAAAGAGAGATACAGTCACTCCCTGACAGGGAGACTGAGGCAACATAGGCCAAGAATGCCGCTCCAGTCCCCAGCATACCTTCTTTTTCTTCTTCTTCTTTTTCTCCTTGGCAACCTGGGCTGCCTTGTGCTGCCGCACCAGCTCCGTGAGGTTAGCCACGTACTCGTCTGTCTGTTGCAAGAGGTAGGCCAAGCGCTTGTCCTTCTTCTGGTCGATGAGTTTCCGGTACCCTTCCTCATCTTCTGCCTGCAAAAGCATGCAGTTATAGCATTTGCCTGCAAGACATGCTCGTCCATTAGCAACCAAGACAGGCAAATCAGAGTCGAGAAGTCCACTGGGAATTATTGTTAACCAGCAATCAGGCCCACATTTAGGGAGCTCTTAGTCACACCCTGCGTTGTGCTGTACGTAGGTCTTTCACATAACTATCATCTCTCCCTTTAGTATTTCCCCAACTCTTACCCAGAGCTAGGCTCTGTAAGGTCCTGGCTGCACAGACATAATCCTACTGAGTTATTTATAAAGGCCAATATCAAGTTCTGTCCCATCTCACAAACATACCCCAAATCGAAGCCCTTTTCTCTACTTGGTCCAAGCAGTCTCTCTCCCTCCGGGCTTTCTAAGAATATATCAGATCACATCACTACCCAGCTTATAGCCTTTGTGACTCCCCATCATGTTCTGAATGAAATCCAAAGCCCTCCCTATGGCCTGAAAGGCCCCAAATGACCTGCCTTTGGGACTCTGACTTCACTCCTCCCCTGCACCATTCTGTTGTAGGGGCCACTTGCTGTGCCTTGCAATTGGCTTTTACCTACCTTGGGCCCTTGACCTTGGTTCCTCAATCCTAGGAGGCACTTCCTCCAGGTTTCTGCTCACCCTTTCAGTACCACCCTGTCAATCCCATGTGTCCTGCTTCGTTCTCTTTAGTGCACTTTCCACCACTCAAAACTGTTTCGCTTGGTCCACTATCTCCCTAGAGTTAGCACAAGCCCCTTGAGGACAGAGTTGTGTCCTTCTCTTTACTTCTGTGGCCTCTGTCCACACAGTCATGCCTATCAATACCTATCCAATTAGGAAATCACCCAGGAATAAATGGTCAGAAACACAGGGTGGGGATGGGGGATCAGATCACACCATTGATGGCTCACAGCCAGGAGGGGTTGCCACCTTCATTTTCTGGAGGACATAAAGTAGCCAGCTAACTGGCTAAGGTCATGCAGGCACTCTAATGGCTGGTGTGACCGGCAAAGGTCTGAGGCCAGTTCTTTCAGATTCTCAAACCCAAATTCTTCCACTTCTAACTCTGAGCAGCAAAATGCCTCAGTGTAATACAGGGTAATGGATTCCTGGCCCCTGCACCGCCCAGTGCACACACAAAGGGATACACAGTTACAAATGCAGAATTTTACCATGAGCCTCCGCATTCTTTCCTTCTCGATTCTTTCATTTTCCTTCTTCTGTTCCCGCTCTGTGTTGGCGTGATACGTGGCCACTGCCTTTGTGAGTTTTTGAATTTTGCCTGTGACGGATCGGTGATATTCTTTGAAATCCTTGGCATGCTGAAGAATGCTGTTGAGGTATTCCTACAAGGACACACAAGACAAGACTGACTACTATAACACTCCCTGAGATAAAACTTTAAAGGCAGCTTGTTTAAAACCAAGAGGACACAGTCAAACAATACTCTAACACTGTTTGCCTACAAGATTCCGAGGTTCCGTGTTCTCAATGCTGGGAGGGTGGTTGGAAGGGCCCTCCTTTGTACACAACAGACAATCAACCTTGCTAAGACAAGCTGACAAGAACATTAACCGATTCAAAATGCTCCCGCCCTCCAACCAAGTTATTCCATTGCTAGGAATTTTATTTTAAGGAAATAGCAGAGATTGTCCAAAAAAATTCAAGAACAAAAATGCCTACCCCAGCCCTGGCCAGGTTGGATGAAGCATCACCCCGTACACCAAAAGGTTTCGGGTTCAATTCCCAGTCAGGGCACATATAGGAGGCAACCGATTGATGTTCTCTAACATCAATGTTTTTTTCTCTCTCCCTTTCTCTCTCTCTCTCAAATCAATAAAAAACATATCCTGGAGTAAGGATTAAAAAAAAAAAATGCCTATCTCAGTGTTTGATTACATATGTACAGAATAAGGCTGGAAAGATATATATACCAAAATGTTAACAGCGGTCTACACTGAGTATTGACTTTTTCTATTATTTTAAACTACACAACTAATAGATATTGACTGGAGGAACTTTAGGAAATATAACGAGTGAACAACAAACAGAATCATCCCAAATCATACTTGAGTGGAAATTTTGGTCTCCTTGACTGATCTTGTAAAAACCTAACTTAGCCCTAGCCTGAGGACTGAAGGGTCCCAGGTTCGATACCGGTCAAGGGCATATACCTTGGTTGCAGGCACATCCCCAGTAGGAGGTGTGCAGGAGGCAGCTGGTCGATGTTTCTCTCTCATCGATGTTTCTAACTCTCTATCCCTCTCCCTTCCTCTCTGTAAAATATCAATAAAAATATATTTAAAACTTAAAAATAAATAAATCCTATATAATAAAAGGCTAATATGGAAATCGACCGAACAGCAGAATGACCAGATGCTATGATGCACACTGACCACCAGGGGGCAGATGCTCAATGCAGGAGCTGCCTTCTGGTGATCAGTGCACTCCCACAGGGGAGCGCCGCTTAGCCAGAAGCCAGGCTCTGTGGCAGCGCTAAGGATGTCCAGCTGACAGCTTAGGCCCACTCCCTGTGGGGCCATCAGTCAGACAACCCCCGAGGGCTCCCAGACTGCGAGAAGGTGCAGGCTGGGCTGAGGGGCCCCCCACCCGAGTGCACGAATTTCGTGCACCGGGCCTCTAGTAATAAAATAAAAACCTAACCTAAATCAATCCCTCCTCTGAGAGACTCCATAGTTTCCACCTCACTCAGATCAATAGTGCAACTTGCTCCTTGGCTCACAAGGCCCAGCACACTCTGTCCTTACCTCCTCCTACTCTCCACCTTGCTCCACTCTGGCTGCACAGAGATCCCTGCTTTTTATAGAACACACAGCACATAGCCCCAGGGCGTTTGCACCTCCCTGTCTATCTGGAAAGCTCTTGCCCACATGGCCATGGGGCTCCCTTCCCTCAGATCTCTGCTCAGATCTCAACACCTCAGAAAAAACTTCCCCAACCATTCTGTGTCAACAGCTCCTCATCACTCTCCACCGCTGCTTCATTTTTCTTTATATCCTATCACCTCCCAATATTTTACATCCCTTGATTGTGGCCCATCTCCCTACCACTCAATTTTGTTCAAGAGTGTATGCTTGGTGTCTAAAATAGTGTTATAAACAGAAAAGACAAACAGCATGTTTAGACACAAAACAAGACTCAACAATGTGGGAGCTGTGAGGACCCAGGTACACAGGAGGGCCAGCAGGACAAGCTATGCAGCAGCTGGGGACGCACCTGGTGCTTCTGCCGGCGCTTGCGCTCCTGCTCAATCTTCTGCTGCTTCTCCAGCTTCTCGGTGATGCGGGCCTCACGCAGGGACTGCCGCTTGCTACGCTTGTAGGCCTTGGCATTGAGGGCAGTCTCGAGGGCCGTGTCCCTCCTCATGCACACCACCACTTCCTGCCGCAGCTTCAGGAAGAGGAGAAACATGGGCACACGTTGGTCATGGCCACACAAAATGCACAATTACACAGTGCAAGCTAGGCACAACACTGCTGCCTCCAGAAGGGTCCTTGCTAAATCTCATAAGCACAAATATGTCTGCATGTGGAGGATGTCTGATAAGTGCCCAAGGGCCAGGGGGGCAAGCACAGGTCAGGAGACAGCTGCTTCTGAACACCCAGCAGAAGGTCCTCTTATCCCTTCAGGTCTACAGCTCTGCCTTCCCTCAAGCACACACAAAGTATTTCCTATGGCTCATTCAAAAGTACAGCCCCCGCAGACAGAGACCCATTTAAGTTTCCTGTTTCGCCGCCTTAGGGAACCATGCTTACTCACACCAGGAACACCCAATGTGCCACCACTGTGCAGGTTGTGAAGAGGAAGGAGGGCACAATGAGCTAATAGTGTGTGTGGACACTGCCGCTTTCAATGGTCAAGGGACATTTACTTAATAATTGCTCAGCAAGCAATTACTTGAATGCAAGCATCAGCGTTGGCAGAAAAGGCCTGTGCCTGCGCCCACCTGCCTCTGGAAGTTCAGCAGCCTGAGGGCCTTGAGCTCAATAGTTGCTTTGGTTCGCAAATCCCCGGCCAGTGACCCGGGTAGGTTTTCAAGTTCCTGAATTCGATGAGCGATGCGAGCCTGAAGCCTAGGGTGCAAAGACAGAAAAAAGGACAGGCAATGAGAGGACTGCATACAAGGAGCCCACCTATGCCCTTTCTTTAAAGCAGGAGCCTCAGAAGAATCCATCCTTTGAGGGAGGCAGGAGATGGCTCAGAAAAGGATGCCAGCCACAAAACACAGAGGAAGGCAGCAGAGGACTCAGAGCTACAGCAAACAGGAAACCAGACAGAGCACAGCCGACTGAAGGCATTTCAGCAGGGTGAGCCAGCCTCAGGAGTCAGGCAGGCCAGGCTCTCCCTCCCAGCCCTGGGAATCTACTTAGCCTGGGAGCCTTATCAGGAATATGGGCCATAAAGGAGTTAAAAAATTAAACATCTATGGCCCTGGCCAATGGTGCTCAGTGGTTAGAATGTAGGCCCGCACCAAAGGATAGTGAGTTCAATTCCCGGTCAAGAGCACATACCTGGATTGCAGGTTCAGTCCCTGGCCCCAGTTGTGGCTTGTGCTGGAGGTAACCAATTGATGTGTCTCCTTCACATCGATGTTTCTGTTTTTCCATCTCTCTCTCTCTCTCTCTCTCTCCCCCACCCCCTCACATTCTCTAAGAATCAATGGAAAAAATATTTAAACATTACTTAGAGGGGGCTAGAGGTGAGGGACTAGGCAGGACCTCTATGAGGAGGTGACCTCAGTAATGAATTCTAAGTGAGCACAAGAAGTCATGTACTGCCAAGCCAAGGCCCTAGGCAAAAATAAGCCTAACTTGTTAAATAAACAAATTGGAACAAGGAAAGTAGGAGAGGAGAGGACAGAGCACAGGACAGGAACTGAACAGAAGGGAGTTTACTGAACAGAGTGGCAGGTTTTAACCTGGGGAATGGAATCTAGTCTAAGTAAATCGTAAAAAGAGACTCCCAACTGCCGTGTGGAAAACAGAATGCACAGGCAAGTGTGAGAGGAGGCAGGCCCCAGGCAGGAGGAGACCAGGTGGCAGTTAACAGTGCGGGGGTAGAACCATGTCTGGGGAGGGGAGCTGAGACGAATTGGTTCACCAAGGGGTCATGCACCACCTATGCAAAGGGGGATGAGAAAGGGGCTGCAGTGTCGGTGGCCCAATGAGCTGCTGGATGGCAGGTATATGAGAACAAAGACTGGAGGGGGAAGCAGGGAAAGTGAAGCTATCTGGACAGGTCATTTTCAAGCTGAAGGGGAGGCACCCGGCTCCAAGGCATGTCACAGCTGGGATGCACTCTAGAGATGGTCGTTAGGCAGATTTACTGATGCCTCTGGGAACATACAGTGAACAAGGCACAGCCTCTCCCTCATAGAGCTTACACTCACCAAGGGAGGCCTGCCCTGAACAAGTGAGAAATGCAATGAGGAAATGGGAAGTGCAAGGTGCTCAAGGAGTGAATCTCAGGTGCCCCCAGAAGTGTGGGGTGAAATATCACAGACCTAGTGTGTCAGGCATCCCACATGGTGCCTAGGAGGCCTTGGCAAAGGGCCAGCAACTAGTGAGAAGGATCCACTGCAGAGCTTGCAGGGTTTCTTTCTGAATGTGATGAACCAAAAGTTGGATACACTGTGTTAGTGAGGAGAAACACATACTTTCACTGCAACATATATCTGTGTGATCTCGGTGGAGGGCAGCTTTGCAGAATCTACAAAATTCCCCTGTGTACGGTCCCTGTTCCCATTAATGCCACTTCTAGGGACTTATTCTGACACACGTGCACACGTGTGAAATTAGAAACAAATGCAGAAGTAGCATTTACTATGACACTGTCTTAACGCCGGATTAGAAATAACCTCACGTGCACTCAGCCAGGGGACTGGCTGAATAAACAATGTTACTTCACCAGGCAGAACACTGAACAACAAGAAAAAAGAAAAGCTCTGCTGAAACCGGTTTGGCTCAGTGGATAGAGTGTCGGCCTGCGGACTGAAAGGTCCCGGGTTCGATTCTGGTCAAGGGCATGTACCTGGGTTGCGGGCACATCCCCAGTAGATGTGCAGGAGGCAGCTAATCGATGTTTCTCTCTCATCGATGTTTCTAACTCTCTATCTCTCTCCCTTCCTCTCTGTAAAAAATCAATAAAATATATTTAAAAAGAAAAAAGAAAAGCTCCTTTTGGACAGACAGGGATGATCTCTACACGATGTTATTTAGGAAGAAACGATGCACTTCATGAACCCCCTGGGGACAATATAGCTACCTGTGCCTATCTGCTCGCATATGCACACAATTTTTCTGGAAGGACACATGCCAACTGGGGAGCTGGGAACATAGAGAGAAAGGCATATACCCTGTTGGCCTTTGGAACTGGAAACCACACCAACGTGTGTCAGGGATGACATGGTTGAGAGTGACCTGAAGCGGCAGCAGCGCCCTCACCTGTACTCCCGCTCCTGCAGAATCTCCACAGGGTCCAGGCCCCGGGGTTTCTGGATGGGGGTGATGCGGCTCTGCTTCTGGTGAAGCGGTACCATGGGGGCAGGCTGGGCCGGCTGCCCTGGCGACTGCGTCTGGGGTGGCATCACAGGAGAGGCAGCGGGCGGGACGGCAGGGGGCGCAGGTGAGGGACGGCCTGTAGGCTGAGGGGGGATCAGCTTCTGAGGTGTGCTTGTGGGGGCAGCAGCATTCGCCATAGGTCCTGGGGAGAGTCAAGTAGCAGGAGCACAGCATTGAGCTTCAGGTCAATTCCAGTGGAAATAAAAAGCCTGCATGGTGCTCACTGCCTCAGTGACAGACAGACTGTCCGGGCCACACCTCCCCATCTCCCCGCCCCTCACTGAACTGGCATGGCAGGCAGCTTCTCACTCAGGGGTCTCCTCTCTCCTGCCTCAAAGTTCAAGCCTCTTCCAGATCTCAGCCTACATGCCCTTCCCGGAAGCCCTGCGCTGATCCAAGTGCCGACCCTGAGTTCGTTCTTCCTGGGCAGCATTTTCCTGACTTCCATCTACTACGGTTCAGATGAAATCACAGATTTAAGTGATTAGCTCATCTATGCCCATCACTAAACCTCAGGTTCTAAGAGGATAGGAAACGAATCCATTTTGTCTACTGCTTTCACCCAACAGACGTGACCCTCAAATCCTTGCTGACAACTACATTTGACAGAAGGAAGAGAAACTGAACATGGTGAGGAGACAGAACCCTGAACTACCCTGTCATTTTGCTGGCCTCCCATAGTATTGGGGGGGCATCCCAGGAGGGAAGGGAAGTCAGCTGTAACCTACAGGCATGGAGGCACCAGGTCCTGAAGGGTCGTGTCTATGGCTACAGCCGTGCCTCCCCACAGCCTCTCACTGGAGTTACAGTGAACTTGTTCATTCATATTCTTCTCTTCTTATTAACATTTTAAAGATAGCCCAGGATCTCATTGACCCACAGGACAGGAAAAGGGTGGGCAGGAATGGTGGAGTGAAACCAACCCAAGCCTTTAGAAAATAACTAGGGATAGATAAGACACCAAGAAGACAGCAGGAAGAAGCAAGGACTTGTCCTTGGCTCTCTCTCTCTCTGGACAGGCTCATCTCAGGATCTGCACTGCGTAACCTCATGACATAAGTCAGGGCACAGAAATGTCACCAGGACAGAGGGTACTCACCTTCAGGCCATGGCTTGGGAGGCCCTCCAGGGGGTTGGCCCGGCATACCGGGGGGCACTCCTGAAGGTCCTGGGGGTGGCATATTGGGCCCTCCCATACCTACACACAGGGAAAAACAAACAATCGGATAAAATGTGTCCTGTGCTCATCCTGCAGCCACCCCCATGGGCAGCCCTGTCTCCAGGGGACACACCCAACAACAAGCCTTGAAGTGTGGGCATCAAGGGAACGCAGGGAGCTGGAGAAAGAATTTTTATCCTGACAACAGCCTTGCCTGCCCGCCTGAGCACCAGACACTATGCCAGCCCCAAGGGGGAAACTTGTGGGCAGCAGAGCCAGGTCTGCCTGACACTGTTGCCCCTACTTGGTCAGTTTGCTGAGACCTCTCCCTCCCCCAAAGGCTGGAGATAGTGGGCCTTACCATGGGGCCTGCTGTAATTTGGAGGTGCTGGGCCTGGGCCTGGGCCAGGGCCAGGGCCAGGGCCAGGGCCAGGTCCTGCTGCAGACACAGAGGGTGGAGGTAGTGTTGGCACCTGCTGCTGCATCCCGGGCATCGGTCGCTTGCCCTGCACTGCCATCTGCAGGTGGTCAGGCAAGGGTTGCCCCCTGGCCAGCATCTTGTAGGCCATGATCTGAGCTCTGAGCTGATGCAGTTGGTTCTGATTAAATGGTGTTGGGCCCCGGTTCTGCTGCCCCAAAGACTGGGGGTCAGCGCCATCCAGCGGGGCCCCTCCTGGTCCAGACGACATCTGTGGGCCCGAGGATGGGCCACTGGCTGGAACCGGACTAGAGGCGTGCTCGGAGCCACCCAGTGGTGAGGGGTAACCTGCAGAAAATGCAGATTCCAGAGGTCACTCAGGAGTATACATTCAGAGATTTTTAAGGCAAAGACGATAACCTTTCCGCCAGGTTTACACTGGCACCTACCTGAGACATGGCATGACCAAATTTTTTCATTCTTGTAATTCAAACAAGAGGCACCCAGAGGGCACTGACCAGCAGCCGGTGTGATTGGTTTTGTTTGGCCCACCTTTCAGTAAGTTGCTGATGGTCATACTGAGAAGTTACACAGATACTAGCTTTCTCTGGGCCTCCCATCCTGACCCTCGTCCTGTCTAGGCCCTCTCTCCTCACTTCTCTGACCTGGAGAGCCCCTGAGTTTCCTGCCCTAATGACAAGAGGTCAACTACTCTGTCACTTTTCAAAGTTCTGGAAAAGCCACTTGGAACGCTCCGTAAAGCAGCTTGGGCCCCACTCCCAAGATTCTGACCGAGCTGGTCTGCAGTAGGACCCAAGAATCTGCATTTCTAATACACTCTTGGGTGACACCAGAGCTGCTAACCTGAGGAGCCCGCCTGTCCAGCTGTCATCTCACACCCAGCACTAAACACAGTTCATTCCCGCCGGTATTCACTCTCCTGGGCTGCTCTGAGACAGAAAGCCCAAACAGGGCACCAGCCAAACCTAAGCTCAACAGCCCTCTGTGGCAGGGTTTCCGCACTGCCCCATGTCCTCCCTGTCTACCTGTGGGAGACCTGATTAGGAAAATGACCTTAGGACTCCTGGGGGGTGACAAACATGAGGAAAGAAGAGAAACAAAACAATACCTTGGGAGTGCTGGTCCATGGGGCTCGGTGGAGGCCCCATCCCTGCGTGGCCCCCTGTCCGCATCCCCATCCCCTTCATCTGGTTGTAGCGGGGGTCATCCGACATGCCCTTCTCATGCATGGATTCCATTGGCTGCAAGAGGGGGGTAATGACAAGGCAGGATCAGCAAGTGGGGACAGGATGAGATGGCACAGCAAAGCACTGCCCAAGAGATCAATGTCACTGAAAACACTATGGCATTTACTGAATTGCCAACATGACCAAGCAGCTTAGGTCCAAGACATGGTCCTGACAGCTACAGTCAAGCAGATGCATAAAATAATACCAACCAATGGAGGATAACTGCCTAGGAGACCAGTGGTTGAAGGGCAAGGGGACAACCAGACCAGAGCACTCGGCAAGAACATGAGACAGTTTCAGATGGCCAGAATCCCACAAGAAAGGACATGAGTGACAGCTTCTGGTCAGGGGCAGTTTTAGCTAGAACTCAGGACTCTCTGTCATTGCCACAAGGAAACCTTGTCACCACAAATTTTGAGATTGGGGACCCTCTTCCTTGGGAGTCTGTAAATCAGAGGAACAGACAGAAACTTCTGCCCATGAGTATGGTAACAATACATCAGATGTCCTCGGTGATCCAGTATCGGCCTCCTGCTAGCTGGGAGGGAGGCTATCTAGGGCATCGTTCTGACAGAATGATGACACCTATTTTCCCTCCTAATGCTCAGCACAAACACTTCCCTTATGGAAATGGTTGTTAAAGGGGACCTTTTCTTAAGACCCTTCCAGGGCACTCTGCTAGGCCCTGGTGAACGCAAATGTCCTGTTTTCTGGGATCTTAGTCTAATGGGTAACCCCCCATCAACTGCAGCTCAATATGTGTACAGTGAAAGGAGGCCAAGAGGGTGCCTGGCTGAGACAGGAGGGGCAGCTGTCTACACAGGAAAAGGGTAGAGCACCCTTGGAGGCTGACAGGAGCCCTGGGTGGGGGCCTGTCCTCCACACCTCTTTCCTGGGATGGGCTTGTCTCCACACAGAGTGGGAGCTCTGTACAGACAGGAGGTGCGCCCCCACACACACACCAGACCCTGGCTCCTATGCTCTTGACACTGGGCTGGACACACGGCAGGCCTCTGACAGAGGTTTGAAAATGTGCATGGAGTGTGTTAGCAGTCCCAGGAGGAAGGAACAAATAGGCAGAGAGGAAAAGAGGGGGCTATGCTAAAGAAGAGGGCCTAAATTGGTGTTGTGTGCAGAGGGTAGTCACCAACAACTTCCCAGGAAGGCAGTGACAAGACAGATACTGTACCAAAGTTGACAGAAATATACGGGAGATGGGAGGGCAGGGAGGGTTTCGCTTGGCTGTGCTTCGAGGTCACTGAGGTGGCTCAGGCCTGGGGTGCAGGGAGCAGCAGAGAAATAAGATGATTCTACCACTAATTTGCTGAGTGCCCTTCTCTCTGGGACTCTGGTTCATGGTCTATAAAATGGGCATAATACTCACCTATACCTGATGGGTGGGGGAGGGGGAGTGGAATGGGGAGCAAACACATAGATAGTGCAGGTAGGGAGCCCAGAGGGTTACCAAGGTCCCCTTGCCCTCAGGTCACACCATCTGCATCTTCTACCTGCAGGCTTCCTGTGGTCTCTGAGGTTGAGGAATGGCACCCTTTCCTGCAGATGCTAATACATATAAGAGGACAGTTCCTTGTTTCCTTCAACTACCTCTCAGGAACACAGAGAAAGAGGAAACTATTTGTGTTGACAGTTTTTCACCTCACTAGCAAAAGCAGCCCTAATCGGGTCAGGTAAGTGGTGACCCAATGAGGACAACTGCCCTGCTCTATGGGTTACACAGGTACACAGAGCAACCAAATTGGAGGAGTCCGCTTGCCTTCAGCTATCTTTTAGGGATTTGGACATTTTTATTCATTAATGAAAGGCAATTTAGGAGTAATGTTACCACATTTCCTACCTAGAAAAACGGGTGAGAGAGACACACAGGGGAGAGCTGGGGTGGGGTGGGGGGAGTTGCATGAAATGATGACTGCCAGCTCACAGCAGGGGCCAGGATGCATGGCTCACCCTCCCGCCTCTGACCAAGTGAACCCAACCAGTCAGAGCAGTGGGCCCTGGGCTCCCTACCTTGTGCATCTGGTGCATGTTGTCCTGAGGGTATCCTCCAGGCCCCTGGCTTGGGATGGGGTGTCCTGCTGAGGGAGGCCCCGGACTGGGCCCCATCATGCTGTGGGCAGAGCCAGGTGAGGGACCTGGGCTAGGGCCCAACATGGCTCCAGGAGAGGGGCCAGGGCCTGGGGAAGGGCCTGGCCGAGGAGTTCCGCCCAGGGGTGGGTCTGGAGTGGACATCTTCACAGGAGCTCCGGACAGTGGTCTCCTGCTAGAGAAAAGTCTAAGTCAGTCTGGGGGTCATGGCCATCAGCTAGGTGGGTCAGGGCATTGTAGGAGGATCACAGTCATGTCAGAAGCACCCATCTGACAGGGAGCTGGTGCCTTTGACATGCAAGCCTTTCTCCTCCAGATCTTTCTCCTCCATTCCTCTGGAAGGAGGTCATACATCAGACACACAAAATCAGATAAGAGTTCCCTGAGGAAGGGGTGGAACTCAGGAGGTGGGGGAGAGGGGCTTTGCTTCCCTTGCCATCTTTCTGATTACAACAAAGGGTGGCGCTGATCTGTACTTCACACCACTTTAATGCTTGCTTACCTTCCAATTTAACAAAAAAGAAGAGTATAACTAAGGCTCAAAGCAGCATCTGACTGGATTCTCATAAATTCAATAAAAACAAATATTCGTGGCCAGTAATACTGGTTTTCCATTTAAGGCAGTGAGATCAAGTTTCCTTTAAAATAAATGAAGTTTAAAAAGTAGGTTCATTTAAAAAGAAGTATTACATAAATAATGGCACTCTGATATTTCAAATACTTCGAGAGTGATAATCAAGTGTCTAAAGTTTGATGAATACTGTTGTACACTAAAAACTGACACCCAGAACTATGACCCAGAGCCTCCAACAAGTCCATAAATATTCAATGATGTTTATAAATTATACTTGCTAACTACAATAAGGATTCAATTTTCAAGTAACCCTTAATCGGTTATGTGGTTACATGGCCTTAAATAAAATTTTCTTTAATAACCTCTTTCATCATGATGGAGCAATACAGTCTCAGTGGTGAAATCTGGAAAACACAAAAAGAATACGAAGCTTAAAATCACCCATCATCCCACCAGAGGCAGAATTGGGTGCTTGCTGGTCCTACAAGAGAGGAAGAAGCAACCCTGCCCTTCTGACCCTTCCCAGGATTCGAGAGGAGGTGTGTGAGAACAGAGGGCTGGAGGGCTCCCAAGGGACCCTCAGAGCCCCCCCAGAGTGGTGAGGATGATACTGAGACATCCAGGATGGGCCCTCTTAAGGACACAGAGCTGCCCTGATGTCCCTAGGGCCCTGTTACACACACACACACACACACACACACACACACACACACACACTCACAACAGAATTACTCAACACACTGTAGGCAAGCTTTTTTTCTTTCTAAAAATATATTTACATTGATTTTAGAGAGAGAGAAAGGGAGAGGGATAGAGAGACAGAAACACTGAGAGAGAAACACTGATTGGCTGCCTCCTGCCACAACCCAAGCATGTGCTGTGACTAGGAATCGAACCTCTTGGTCCATGGGTCAGCGCTCAAACACTGAGCCATACGGGTCGGGCTGGCAAGCTTTTATTTTTCATATAATCATACCTATGACCATTTTTGTCATTTAATAGTCTTCAAAACATGAACTCTAGCGGCTCCACCCCATTCTCACATTCTGTGAATCCTGAGTTACTGAAAAGCCCCTCTCCTGTTGGCATGTCACAAATCTGGTTTTTGTTTCTGTGGATTTATTTTGGTTTTATAATGAGTCTCATTGCCTCTAGACTTTACTGGGCACTTCTGGTTCTAAGGAATAAATCCTGTTAAGAAGTTCAGGAACATTTTTTTAATATATATTTTTATTGACTTTAGAGGGGAAGGGGGAGGGAGACAGAGATAGAAACATCAATGATGAGCCCTAGCCGGTTTCTGGCTGCCTCCTGCACGCCCCCTACTGAGCCCACAACCCAGGCTGTGCCCTTGACTGGAATCGAACCCGGGACCTTTCAGTCCGCAGGCTGACGCTCTATCCACTGGGCCAAACCAGCCAGAGCTCAGGAACATTTTAAATTCTCTTGATTAAAAAAGGTTTAACTTGAAAGGTGGAGGCATTTTCCTTGATAACAGATCAAAAACCCAAATTTCTTTGTTCCAGTTTCATGACCAAATAATCGGAGCCAAGAGAATCAGAAACTTCAGCAGGACAGAAATCCGTGGCCGGCACACCAGCATGACCGCGAACAGACCCCCACAGGCAAGAAAAGGCTCCTCCATCCTCTGAGCGCCCAGATTTCCTCCAGAGCTCAAGGAGTCTCAGTGCTGGACCTTAAGTCAGCCTCGTAGGAGTACGGAGAACTGGTGTCTGCTCACAAGCCCTTCTCCACAAATCCAAACCCAATAAGCTCAGTTTAAAATTAAACTTTTAACAATATATACAGCCCTGGCTGCGTAGCTCCGTTGGTTGAAGCATCCTCCCAATATGCCACGCGTGCGGGTTCAATACATAGTCAGGGCACATACAAGAAGCAACCAATGAATGTACAAATAAGTGGAACAAATGAGTGTTTCTTTCACTCTCTCTTCTTTCCTCTCTCTCTCAAATCAATAAGTAAAATATTTCTAATCAAGTAAAATGAAAAATATATACATTTGAGACAAATTCATTTGGAAGCCATTTAGAAGCAAAATGTGACTTGATTCAGCTCTGTGTGAATAGTCACACATTCTGCCACGGAAACAGGATCCTGTTTGATCCCTAGACTCTGCCCCAGTCTCTGCCAAGTACTCTGTATCTCCTTTGCTAAAATCCTGATTCTGGAGTCTGAAACTTCTGGCCCAGGGGCTTGTCTACAGGAGGACGCACCTGCAATCACAATTCACAGGTGGGAAACCAAGCAACACTGACATGGCCACACTGGGCAAAGGATGATGGCTCCCCCGAGCTTCATGCCCCTTCATGTCCACAGGCCCTCTCAGGCCCACAGAGCACTGCAGTGACGTGAGGAAAGGAACGGTGGTTCTGCAAATCCTTCAGGAATCCTGCAGTATCCACAGGCTCAGAGTTTCTTTCTCACTTGAGGTCTCTATTCTAAGTCAAGCCAACTGAAACTGACAGCAAGATAGAACCCATGCCACCAAGGGAACATCATCTCCCCATCTAAAGGCAGACACGCTGGCAAGCAAACACTGAAGTACCTTCGGAATGATGGCTCTTCTAAACGTAGTTTATATTTATCAACAGACCTTCTTCCCATCGAAGCATGTGGTACCTCTAGAAATTACCTGCCTCCACTGAGGAGGGCTAAATTCATCAACACATAGCATCCACCAAAGTTACTGAAGGGCATCGAAACAGACTTTTTGTGCCCGAATATGACACTGTCCACTTTTGAGAAGCATAGGGTTTCATGACACTCTTTTTAAAATATTTGCTTCAATCACTTTTTGGCCTTTTGGCTAACATCAAGTGAAGCATCTGTTCTTATCAGTTTAATAAAATATTTGCTTCAGAAACTGCCACCTCTGAAGAGTCAAGCTGCCATGAAGCAGGTAAGTGCATGGAGCCACCATCAACAGCAAACTCATTTCTGGAGTGAAAGCTCAGACACATGTGGGGAGTGACAGTAACAGGGACCCAAAGGAGTGCAAATACAATACAAAACCATTCCAAGCAGCACAGGGGGTAGGGCGTTGTCAAACACTGAGGAGCCCAATCGGGGTGCTGGTGCCACATGTGGACGAGCGCTGTTGTGGTGGAGAGAACAGGAAAATGAAACCAGTGTGGCTCTCTGGTCCTCAGTGTAGTACTGAGGAGGGGATTTTTATTTTAATTACCTGTAATGACTTGTAGCATACCTAAGGTGCCCTGATTGTATGATGAATCCTAGATCAGACATAACATCTCCAACATTCCAGAAGGCGCCCTCAGCTCCCTTCCCAGTCGAAACCACCCCCCTATGCAAAACCACTGTCCTGACTCTATCATTGTATATTAATTTCACTTGTTAGTGAACTGCATCTGAAAAGAAAATCACACAGTAGTGTCCTTTTGCTCATCTGGAAGGGGCATCCATGTTGTTGGGTACAGTGGTCATTCGTTCTTCTTCATTTGTCCTGTTCACGGACACTGTGCTACCAGTTTAGAGCTAGCGTGAATAAAGCTGCTATGAACAATATCACTTAGGGGACACAGATGCTCATTTTTCTTGGATATCCAGGAGTGGAACTGTTATCCTAAGGAAGGCATAAATTTAGCTTTGGTAGCTATTGCCAGTTTTTCAAATTAGGAATATAATCCTACATACCGCCCTTCTCCTAGCAGTGGGTGAGCATTCCAGTTCCTCCATATCTACACCAACACTTGGTGCTGTCAGTCTTTTTCTTTTTAATGAGTTTGTTTAGTTACAGGCGGTACAGAATTCAGGATGGAACAAAGACTGAAGAACACACTCTGGAAAGACTTTGGGTTGGGTTTACTCTGACCTCACAGCTAAGGTCGAAATGGCAGAGTGAAAAGAACTAAAGAGATGAGCCACTGCATGATTATTATTTTTTACAAAAGTTTAATCTTAAATGTACAACAGGCTCCAAGACAACACTTCATTCTATAGGTGGTAATAGATGTTGACAGGGAATCTAGATGTTCAAACAGGAATAGAATTAAGGATCACCATTGCCCCAGGCACAAGTAACAGCTCATTTTTTGCCAGATTTCTTAATTTCCACCTGTGGCCAGGGAACCCCTTCCCTGCAACCTTCTCTTTTAACTCCTCTAGTTCCTTCTGCTCCTTTTTGCTTCTGCTCCAATGCCTTATCTTCCTCATCCATCTCCTTGACCTACTCTTGCCACCTTCTCAGTGGACATGGTGCCTGTCACCTCTTCCCTAATCCCCGTCACCAGAAGTTCCATTCTTTTTAATTCCGGTGGGTGTATAATATTTTATGGACAGATGTTAATTACAGGAGAAAACAGTTACTAACCGGTAGCAGGACAGGAGGCATTGTGATGAGTACGGGGGGCAGCTGGGGAGTAACGTAGCAATTAGTGTGGCATTATCTGAATTAGGAGACCACATGGACACTAGGCCACAGGAAACCAGTAGAAAGCAAAGAGAACACCCACCCCAGATACAGAACATACTTGCTTAATAAGAACTGAAGGAGTGCCCTATCTGGTTTAGCTCAGTGGATAGAGCGTCGGCCTGCGGATTGAAGGGTCCCAGGTTCAATTCCAGTCAAGGGCACATGGCTGGGTTGCGGGCTCAATCTCCAGTCGGGGGCGTGCAGGAGGCAGCCAATAAATGATTCTCTCTCATCATTGATGTTTCTATCTCTCCCTCTTTCTTCCTCTCTGAAATCAATAAATATATTTTTTTTTAAAAAAAGAACTGAAAGAGTGAAGGGATTACAAAGTAAAAGTTCAATAATCTCGACTATTTGGAAAGTTGTATTTCCGGACAATAAAAATAACAGTGAGAAACACCAGTCTAGCAAGTGTCTGCACCACAGGCCCAAGACCACCAGCTCTGTGAGAGAGTGTTTATAGCCCACAGCTAGAGCCACCAGGTACATGGCACAGGCTCACTTTCCACCAGAGGGATGTAAGGAGAATGCCAATATACAGAGTGCTCAAGCTCACCAAGAAACAAACATACTAAAATCAAGAGGCACAGACACTAAAAACAAACAAAACCAGAATGCCATGTGGGTAAGGCTGCAGTAACACAGGGCACATATGGTATGATGGGGAGCTCCTGTGGAATGCTGCAAGTGACTAACACTGGGGATCCCCAGTGCCGAGACTGAGGTGTGCACTGGGGCTGAGGCATCCTGGGAGCTTGCCCCGAGGAGATGGTGACTTCAGGTCTCATAAACCCATGTCTATGGGGTCTGCAGATGACTTTGGGCCGCAGCATCAGCTCTACTGCCATGGCCAATCCTAGGTCCTGGTGGGACTCTGGTCAAAAAGAGGACTACCTGGCAGTTCACACAACAGGCGACTGGAATTTGTAAAGAGGAAACCAGCAGACAGCAAACTCCAAGGTTGGTGCACAGAGGTCCTCAGGCACTGGACTTGGAGGCCACCAGGGCCCCCAGCCCGTTCCTTCTCTTGTCCCAACACTGCTTCCTTGGGCCTCAGAGACACCACCTTTACCCCCTCCATCCTGGCTCACTGAGAACGCCCTCTGTGAGGTAATGAATGATCACATCTTAGTACCAAATTGGGGACGGACATGAGAGGTCACTAGAATTAAAGCCCAGGTGACACTCTGTTGCCCACAGCATCCCCAGGAATGCAATGGACCCTGAATATCTTATGATTTTAATTTGCATTTCCCTGTGACTAATGGTGTTAAACACCTTTTCATATTCTTATTGGTCATTAAGATATCTACGTTTCTGCTAGAATTTTATTGGGAATAAGTGGTTCAATTACCATATGCCAATCTGTGACTCGCCTTTGTGCTTTCTTAACAGTGTCTTGTGATAAACAGAAGTTCTTTTTGTTTTAATATATTTTTATTGATTTCATAGAGGAAGGGGGAGAGAGAGATAGAAACATCAATGATGAGAGAGAATCATTGATCGGCTGCCTCCTACATGCCCCCCACTGGGGACAAAGCCCAAAACCTGGGCATGTGCCCTTGACTGGAATCGAACCTGGGACCCTTCAGTCCTCAGGCCGACATTCTATCCACTGAGCCAAACCAGCTAGGGCAACAGAAGTTCTTAATTTTAATGATGTCTGATTTACCAAGTTTGTTTTTTTATGGTTAACTAGAGGCCCGGTGCACGAATTCGTGCATGGGTGGGGTCTCTCGGCCTGGCCAGCGATCAGGGCCGATCGGGGCCGTCTTGCCCAGTCCCGATTGGGGCCAATGGGGGCCAGCTGGCAGGGGAGGGACCGTGGGAGGTTGGCTGGCCAGGGAGGGACCATGGGAGGGCTCCAGGGTGTGTCCAGCCTGTCTCGCCCAGTCCAGATCGGCTGGATCCCAGTAGCAAGTTAATCTACCGGTCAGAGCGTCCGCCCCCTGGTGGTCAGTACACGTCATAGTGACTGGTCGAGTGGTCTACCAAACAGTCAACCAATCGGTCAGACACTTAGCATATTAGGCTTTTATATAGAGAGATAATTTTGGGGTCCTGATTAAGAAATCTTTGTCTACCTGTGACATTATGATCTACCTTCTGTTCCTGATACAGAGCTTCTAAAAAACCCTTTTAATTCCCTATGTGATAGGGGTGACAGGATAGTTTTACACAGAGCTCCAAAATCCCTTAGAATTCCCTAAGTGATAGAAGTATCTTTTGTTCTAATGAGGCTTCTCTTGATTGGCTCCTCGATGGCTTCAGGATGGATGGGAGCTGGCTGCCAGAAAGACCAAGCCATGGTTAGAAGGTTGGAATTTCAACCCTACCCTCCATCCTCCAGGGATGTCTGAGTGATGAGGCTTCCACAAAAACTAAACTACATGTTTCAGAAAGCTGCTGGGTTGGTGAACATATCCATAGGCCAGGAGGGTGGTAAATTCCAACTCCACAGGGACAGAAGCTCCTATGCCCAGGACCCACCTTACATATTTCTTCATTTGGCTGTTCATCTGTATCCTTTAATGTCTCCTTCATTTTATGAGCTGTACTAGCAAATTTTTAAAACTTAGGAGGGGATTCTGGGAAACCCTGATTTGTAGCTTAGTTGGACAGAAGTGTGGGTAATGTGAGGACCCACTACTTGCAAAGAAGGCGTCAGAATTGGGGGGCAGTCCTGTGGGACTGAATCCTTAATCTGTGGGGTTTGCACTAACTCCAGTTAGTGCCAGAACTGAACTGTAGGACAGTTAGTGTCAGCAGAAACTTGCAGAGAATTGCTTGGTGTGGAAAACCCACATTTGATGTCAGAAATGTGATCAGAGGAAACAGGTTTTCCTGTACTACCTCAAAGTCATGGGATAGAGAAAGGGAAGGGACACTTTAATATCCAAGAGGGCTGTGACTTGTCCCTGACCCTAGTAATTTACAACTGCTGAGGATGTATCAGTCACAAAGAAATCACAGGAAGGAAGATCCAGCCAGAGAGAGAGGCAGAGCTGTGGGCCCATTTGGTGGTAAGGACTCGGATTTATTCACTGAGTCACACCACCACACTACACGAAAGGATTATCATTGGTCTCACTGACAGAGGTGTCCCTGAGGTTCAGAAGTCACACAGCAGGTCAGTGGAGAAGATGGAGAAACAAGGCCAAGGTCACAGTGCAACTCAGACTCTGAGTGTGGACTCTGTCACCTAACTG